TTTTTTTTTTTTTTTGGTGAACAGCTCTCATTGGAGATCTGCACAGTTGTCATAAGTCTGGAGAGTTACTGAATTTACTGGAATTAGAAATGTTACTGACAAATCAAGGGAAATGATTCTGTTTAGCCAGCTCTGCCTACTTGAGTTAAAGCTCAACCACCCTTTGCTATCAGGGTTAGCAGAAGACAAGCAGAGAAACAAACAAAMAAAAACCTCCTGTAACAGTTCATGCTTAATATGTGTAGCTGTAGTCTGCGTAGACTAATTCATTAAAAGTTCTATTAGGAATATCTAAAAGCAAGTTTAAATATATATATATATACACACACACACACAAAAAAAAGTATAATGAATCTAAGAAAAGTATATTCTTATTTATAGAAATTGCTCTTTGTTCAATTTAGCTGTCTTCACCTGATCTTTTGCAGGCTCATCTCCCAACAGGCTGGCATAATTCTTAATGCGGTAGGAGGAAGAGCAGCAGTAAGGGAGGAGAGGGACTGGGCTGTTCATGTCCTCCACTTGAGCTTCCTTGGGAATCCCTGCAGGGAGGCTGGCCAGGTCTCTGCTTTGTCCAGCCACCAGGAGCTTCTTACCAGGTATGTTCTACAGCTTCCGTATGTATATCACAAACTCAGGCTACATCACTAGGCTGGTTGCCTGGTACTTTGCAAAAKTCAAACACCTCTGGCAAGCAGCTACCTCCAATTCTACTTCTCAATGAATGCAGTGATATCCACCTTCATCAACCACCCTAAGACCTAAATCTAAGGTCCTTTGGAATAAAGGACATTTCAACTTGGGAACTTATAAATAAATAAAAGTTAAGCTGAATTTCAAAGTAAGAGGTGCATTTTTGTATGGTAGCTATGTCGTCTAGACATTTTTAAAAAACCTTGTAACACTTTATCACTCAGCACTGCTAGGAAGAAACCTAGGTACCTAGGAAGGAACCACTGGCACATAACACACCTGTGGGGATTTTTACTTCATTTATTTTACTATGAGGAAATGTAGAGACTGTAGTTAGTACCACAGCCATATGATTAGAAGATTGTGGGTCTGGGTTGGGGGGAAGTTGGTTAGGAAGAGGTAGGTTTGGAATCTGGTCATAAAAAAAAAAGAGACAAACACTATAGTCTGAAATGTACTTTAAGCTTAAGCAACAAGAGCCCAAAACAACCCTTTACTGACCTGGTCAAACAGCTGTTTGCCTGTGGTGTTTGGCTGGATGGCAAACTCCAGCTCTGCATCCATAGTAACAACTCGAACATTGATCTGAGGAGAGAAACAAAAAGCATTGTTTAACAGGAATGGAAAGCTACTTCTCAGTGTTAACACAGCACTTTGTGTACAATAGAGCCGCCGTGCTTTGATGCACTACCTTAACCTTTACAATGCACACACTTAAGCCCCAATTAGATTTTTGTTATCACACTGGTATACTTAATTGGGGCACTGACTTTTCTGGCTTATCCAGATTGCTTTGCAGGTTTTCCTAATCAGTAAAGAATTAGATTGAGTTTCTGCTAATTGAGAAGACATTTTAGAGTTGATTATTTCTAGGTCTAGAGGCCCCTGAAGAAAGGGTTTCCATGAGGGGGGCAGCAAAATTGCCTGCAGGTCATCCCTTGGATTACAATGGGTGCTAATGACTAAATTAAATTTAAGATTTACAGTTTAACCCCCACTTACATTAGAGATGGGATTAATCTAAAGTTTTAAAGGCAAAAGATTGCAGATTATTCTTACCAAGTAATCAGCATTGATCCAATAAACAGTTGTTCTTACACTCAAAAATCTACTCGGCTTACAAAAACAGCAGTTATGGGTATAAGTGATAGCAGGGTTCACTAACAGCCACTGCTTTTGAATAAACACCATAAGAAGATTTAGTGCAATGGCAGAAGCAGATGCAAAGAGAAAGGCAGTACCCAGAAGGGTTAACTGGTGACCAGAAGTGGTTCAGTAGAAGCAGTAGGTAACTGCAAGAGAAAAGCAACAACCAAGTGCAAGGAAGGAACAAATCAAACTATCTTCTCACTCTTCTTTTTTTTTTTTTTTTTTTAAGAAATTCGGCAGTCTTCATTTTAGTGATGGGGGGTTTGGGGAAAGAGAAAGAGCATACTGGTTTCTAAGAGCTCCCTTCTCCAGCTGGGAGCCAACCATTTGGGATCCAAGAGGAAGCATGGCAGGACACTGAAGCATTTTCCTCAAGCCTTAAAAAACAAAGCTTCCCCAAACAGTGTTTTGAAGGGAGCAGAGGAGATAGAGTTTAGATACCAAACCCTCCAAGGACACCTGGGACCTGCAGTAGAAATTAATTTTTGTGTTTTCAAAGGGACTGAATGAGCGGCAGAATAAAGTGAAATTCCCTGTTGTGCAGGCAGATAAGCCACCAGCCATATGACAGGCAGAGAAGAGAGGGCACCTCTAATAATTGTAAATTCAAAAGTTTGAAGACTGCCTTGGAAAATCCTGGAGATCTCCTTCCTACACACTGAAGCTTCTTTCCTTTCCTCTTAAAATTTAAGTCTTGATTACAACAAGAATATTATGTTTTTGACAGCATTTCTATATGTATTTCCTGCAACCACTCCACCTCAAATTCTGGTCTCAGAGGAGATGGTAATGCAGGAGGCAATCAGAGCTTACACCACTCAAAGCCCTGGTAGAGACAATCTGAAGAAGCTTTCATGCCTGCTAGGCAAAGAGGCAATTGAGGCTGCATTCGTTTCATACCATATGAAACTCTCCACGGCACCAAGGCAATTAAATCAAACCCCAGGATGATAAACAGTTCAGGATACTGCTGGGGAGTGACAGRGAACAACTCAGAGTAATTACTATCAGCAACAAAAAGAGCAAGATGGTTAAGATAATTTCCGCTGGTAAAGTCCTGCTTACCCTAGGGAAGGGAAGGCAGGCTACACGTAAGGTCCCTAGCAAATCCTGGCACTATCCCAGGACTAAAAGAGCAGCCATAACCAGAAAGAAAGCAGCTATTGTTTCAGAACACAGGTAGGAAAAAAAGAATGTGACAGTTACACACAAGAGTTTTTAATGCACGTAACAGGCCATAAATCTTAGATGGTAAAGCCTAACTTCCCATTTGGTAGGCTGACGTGGTAAACTTTCTGATTATGCTTTTATGCCCAAGACTAACATACTTGAAATGAGTAAGAAATAGGGCCTTAGGAGATTTGTTTTTGTGGCACTAAAACATTATTTTTTCTAATACATAGGGCTTAGCATAAAGRTTTTCATCTTCCTCCTATGATGCATAAAATTACTAATGAACTTGACCCGAAATGGGAATAAGCTGCAGAGCTTACTCCATGGACCTTTACTGAACATTAATCCCACAACTTCAGACTGTTCAGGTTTGACCATTGCCCACGTTACCAATTGGGAGAGTAGAATTAAAATGAAAGGTGGAAAAGGAGAGAATTTGAGAATACAGTTTAAATAATGCAGAAAGCTTTGGGCTTGTGGTTAGAATAGGGACTTTCTTGCTTTTAGCAGTGTGCTCATGTCTTGCACTTATTAGATCATCTCTTCTAAGGCTGAATCATTAGTTCAATCCATGGGACAGAACAGCCTTTCAGAAACTGTGTACCACACAAGCATCTAGCCTGGAAAATGAAGACCGTCATTTGAAAAACAGATTCAGAAAACACTGCCTCTCAAGGAGGCAAAACAGAAAAACATGAATCATAAGAGGGAAAATAAAGTGCAGAACTTACTCCATGGACCTTTACTGAATATTAATGCCACAACTTCAGACTGCTCAGGTTTGGCTGAAACATTACCTTACCACATTGCCTTTCAAGGAGGCAATGTAGGCAAGGTAGGAATCCAAGAGGACACCATCTTTCAATTGTCCCGTCACGTAAATGCACTATTCCCTGGCATCCTGGACACCAGTCCAAGCTGTACCTGTACAGTGTCCTGACGTCTGTGCTAGAGTTTATGGTTCAGAATGTTTCCAGTTGCTGCCAATATGGTACCTTTGACCACCCATTTCCTGACCTTTCACTGTTCCACTGTCAAATATTGTGCACTGATGGGGAAAAGGAGGATTGGGCTAGGAACTCCTGTCCACTCAAGCCCACATACCCAGTMAGCCATATTTGGGCATTTCATGTTCTGAATGGGGGTAATGGGTACAAGTTGAAACCCAGGCAGTTCCATCTTCAYGTGAGGAGGAACTTCTTCACTGYRAGGGTGACAGAGCCCTGGCACAGGCTGCCCAGGGAGGCTGTGGAGTCTCCTTCTCTGGAGATTTTCCAAATCCGCCTGGATGCCGCCCTGTGCCCCATGCTCTGGGTGTCCCTGCTTGAGCAGAAATGTTGGACTAGATGATCTCTAGAGGTCCCTTCCAACCTCAACCATCCTGAGATTCTGTGAAGTCCAATTGCCCTCGAGTTCACTTGCATCATAATATGGCTCAGTGAAACCATGAAGTTGTGTCATTTTAAAATACTGTGCAATTTATTTCCACCGAATCCATAAGATAAAAGGCCGTAAATACCAACTTACACGCAACAGGAGAAACCAGTACTTTATGGCCATGTCCTTATCATTATGGAGCTCTAAATACCTCAGACAATGCTCAGGAATGCCTCCTTCCTCTTCCCAAGGTGGAACAAACACTAAAGTCTCTTAAATAGCAGGCTTGCAAATGCAAATGCTAGTGGAAATACCTTTCCAAGCTTTGGCAATTAGCATTGCCATAATGGAGAAACCCAGATAAGCCTGCTTGCTTTCTGCAGTTGCTGAGTATCTGTAATCCTAGGTGAGTGGTTAGCGCACGTACATAGATCAACCACGTAGCACAGAGGGCACTGGGTTTTCCTAAGCACTGCACCTGCTCAGCACACACTGTGAAGCAGGTTTACACACTCCTCGCAGGACATCTTGCACRTATCCAGACTACGTGGACAGCACATGGACACAGGGCCTTAACAGCAACGCAGAGCAAGCTGGAAGCAGCCAGCATAGCTTGCATTCTTGCTTCTGCATTCTCACTTCTGCACGGCTTTGCATGGTTTGGCTCTCCCCACACCAGCAGCAACACTACTGCAGCTGTAAGAAATAATAGACAAGCTTTCCCCAGGCTTTACAGTGCACCTGGAAGGGCAAAGTAATCCCATTTCAACCTTAGCAACCAGACCTGTTTATAGACGTGTTTGCTGATTAGGTTTCTGCTAATAGGAAAAGTGATTTCGYGTAGCAGCCCTAGCAAGGGCACCAAAACTGCTCTCTGTTCACTTACAATTTATGCACTAGTGTTTGTTGGTTCCAGGTCCAGCAGTAAAGAAAGAAAACCACACTGACAGCTCTCTGTTTGATGACATATACTGGACTGCAAGCTGATAGCATAAACATAGTTCCAGCTCATGGAAACTATTTGGGGAAAATTCTCAATTTCTATTAGGGGAAAAGCCTACAGGCTCCAGTCCTCAGATTTTCTTGCTGCCATTTCAGGGTCTGAATTTCTCTTCTACAAGAAACTGAAGGCAACACCTTACAGTTCAGAGACTGAAGAGGGAAGGGGATAGTTCTGGGAAAAGAGGTGGCTTAAATGACTCAAGGAAATGGATAGCTGTTAGATCAATTTATTATATTATCCTTCAGTATTTATAAAACACCAACATGTCAAGACCACAGCACCTAGAGCCAGCTCTGTTTCTTCCAACAGGGTAACTTGCATCATGGATGAAGCCTAATCTAGTAATATATTTGATGTTGTCTCATATGACATAGACTAGGCACCTACATCTGAGCCATGTGAAATTACTACACCTGAATAACAAGTTGTGCACCTAAATTCTGAATGGCTTCTGTCAGTCAGAAGACAGTTTCATCAATAACAAGCTAATATCAATCTTCTCTGGTCCTGCAGGATTGGTAAAGTGAGACTTCTCTCCCAGATGGATTCAGCACCTACATGGTACCTTCAAAGTACCTACAAGACACCTGAAGGACACACGTACTGACCTTTGCTGACCAAGGTCTGGAAGTGGGGTGGGCAGGTGGTGAGAGTAAGAATACATAGCTAAGTATTTCCATGATATCTGGGAAGACAAAGAACATTTACAACTCTGCACACAGCCTAAAACTAGAAACAAGATGCTTAGGAGGACAGGGCTAGGGTTCAAAGATCTTGGTAAGTCAGAGAAATAGTTAGAAGGTTTGCGCTGGAGGAGGTGAGAACAGGCCAGAGACAAACAAGTGAACAAATTACAGGCTGGCAAACAATGGGTTACAGCAGG